CCGGCCTCATTTTCGGGCCCCGCTCGTTCCGAATCGTGCTCCCGCTGCAGCGCTGGCCTCATTTCCGTGCTTCCGCTCGTTCCGAATCGTGCTCCCGCTGCAGCGCTGGCCTCATTTCCGCGCTTCCGCTCGTTCCGAATCGTGCTCCCGCTGCAGCGCTGGCGTCATTTCCCGTGCCATGCCACGGCATGCAACGCAATGCTAGGTTGCGTTCCGCTGCGCGATGCCATGCCTTCAGCCAAAGCTGTGATGTGCAGTGCTTAAGTGCCACGTCGTGCTATGCCATGCTACGCTTAGATCTTCAACGCCATGCTATGCAATGTTATGTTCGGGGCCGCTGTGCGATGCCATGCTTTGCGTTGCAAAGCTTTGTGATGCAATTCTTCACTACGCCACGCCACGCCATGCTGTGACATACTACGCTTCGCGGTGCTCTTCTACGCCATGCCATGCCGTGCTCTACAATGCATCGCGTACCCTGTCGGGATCATTGCCCTGCTCGACATCCGACTGTGCGAGTAGAGAGGGGATCTACGCCATCGTAAGGGATGGGAGGGAGGGGCAGGATGTAAGATATGACGCGAGCGCACCTAGCTTGTCCTCCTCCCCCTCCTCCTCCTCCCCCTCCTCTTCCTTCCCACTCCTCCCCCTCCTCCTCCTCCTCCCCCCCCTCCTCCTCCTCCTCCTCCCCACTCCCCCTCCTCCGAGATCGCTCGGGCGTCCAAGCCTCCCGGATCATCGGGGCGGGGGGCGGTCCAGGGCAGCTGCGGGTTCGCGCCTCGGGGGGCCCAGGCCGGAGTCGCGCCCCGGGCAGCCGCTGTCCCGCGGGACTTCGGATGCCTCGGGCGGCCGAGCGGCACGGCCGACTCCCACACGCTCGCGCCGTGAAGCTCGCCGAGGGGGAAGCGGGCCACGAGGGGCGCGGGCCCCGCGGCTTTCTGCTGGGCTTGTGTTCCACCACCACCACCACCATAACATTTCAGGGGGAGGGGGTAACTTGGAGGGGGAGGGGGTCCTCCTCCTCCTCCTCCTCCTCCTCCTCCTCAACCTCCTCCTCCTCCTCCTCCTCCTCCTCCTCCTCCTCCTCCTCCTCCTCCCCCTCGTTCTCAACCTCCTCCTCCCCCTCGTTCTCAACCTCCTTTCCCCCTCCGACGTATGGTGGTGGTGGTGGTGGTGGTGGTGGTGGTGGTGGTGGTGGTGGTGGAAAAGAGGGCCATCGTTTTCGGCCGCTTTCGGGCTCTCGGGGCCCTCTACGGGCCCCAGGACTGCCAGGAAACGGCTCAGGATGAAGATCTCGTCCCAGGGGAAGGCTCTGAGGTCCAGGACCCGTTTCACTCAGGACTCGTTTCCCCCTTGCGAAGATGTTCGGCAATGCTCGGCTTCGGCTCCTGGGGGGCTCTTTCTGGGCCCGGGGGCCTCGGAGGATCCCGAAAGTCCGTGCGGAGTCAGTCCGTACGGAGTGTTTGGCCTTTGTGTGGGCTGGATCCGTCTGGACTCGGCCTCTCATGATATGGTGCCAAGTCCAGGGGGCCACATGCGAACCCTACCCCCGCCCCCCACGATTTCTGAGGGGGAGGGTGGGGCCCCACTTCGCTCGGGAGCTCCCGAACGACGTGAACCCCACCCTCCCCCTCAGAAACCGTGGGGGGTAGGGCCAGGGCTCGCACGTGGCCCCCCGAAGTCTGCACGGAGCGCTCGGCCTCCGCCGGGGGAGGTTCTCGGGCGCGTTCTCGTGCGCGTGCCCGGCGGCTCTCCCCGGCTTCTCACGGTGCTGTCCCGCAGCCCCGCCTCGTCGTCGAGGGGCGTCGAGGGGCGGCCCAGGTCCACGCCAAGAGCGGGCGGCTTCGCTGTCGGGGGCTTCTCGCCGACACGTCGGCGGTGTGTCGCCGATGCTTGGTCGACGCTCGCTCCCTCTGCGCCCCTCCCCCCGTTGACGTCCCCCCCTCAGGTGGCGCCAGCCGCTGCGGGAGCCACCGGCCTGGTCGAGGAGCGGTGCGACCGAAACTGGTACGGGAAGCACGTGGACGAAAACCGAGAGCAGTTCCTGGCACGGCTTCTAGTTGCGCGCAGACAGCCCAGCATGCCTAGTCGGGGCGGTCTCGACACTCAGGCGATCGCAAACATGGATCAAGGGGGCGTGGGTTAGCGACGGGTCCCGTTTCCATGGGAAATCGCGGATTTCCGCCGCCGAGCGAGGCGGCACCGGCCGCATTTTGTCGAGGGCACCTCCCCAGATCCATGGATTTGGCGACCGCGCGCCGAATCCATGGATCGGTGAGCCATGTTTGCGCGCCCCCGAAACACCGTGTCGCCGTTGAGGGGTTGCGGCGCCGTTCCGGAGCCGAGGCCGCCCGGGACTGCTCGGGCGGGCATGTTGAGCTCAGCCGGGACTACTTTGGGGGGTTGTCTGCGCGCAACCAGAAGCCTCACTGGCAAGTCCTGTCCATGTGGAGCCGAACCCTCCGTCGGTGTCGCCGCGGGCGGTGTCCATTTGAGAAGGTCGCCTGTCCGACCGCGGCCGCTGCCGGTGTTTGACAACGTCTGCTGTTGGGCATCGTGCCCATCGTTCACGTGCCCAGTTCGGGCTTGCCAAGAGGAGTGCAGCGAGCCTGCGCAGTTGGCTCTCGAAGAACAGCAAAAACGCATCAACATGTTAGCAGCGAAGGCCCCACACTGCGTGATTGCTCTGCGGAGGTGAGAGCTATGAAGTAAAAGCTATGTGATGCAAGCTGCGCGGTGTGAGCAGGATGTGACAGCCATGGGGGGTAAGCTATGTGATGTAAGCTGAGTTGTAGAAATTTGGTGGTGTGAGCTATGTGATGTACCTATGTGGTGTCAGGTAGTTTGTGCATGTTATGGCGGGTAAGCTATGCGCTTCGAGCGGCAGGTGGAAGCTATGGGGCGTAAGATATGTGATATTGTATACATGGGGTTAAACATGTTCAGTGCAAGTTAATCGGTGTAAGATACGTGGCGTAAGTTATGTGGTGGACATTTTGGTGTACAAGCCATGCGGTGTGACATGGAGGTGTCCTTCATGTGGAGTAAGCTATGTGTTGTCAGCTATCTTGTGCAAGCTATGCGGTGCAAGCTAGGTGGTGTAAACTGTGTGGTGACAGCTAGCTCGCTTAAGCTATGCGGTGAGAACTTGAGATGAACGGCATGGGGCGTAAGATATGTAATGCCAGCTATGTGGTGTAACGGTTCGGTGTAACCGATGTGTTGTTCACGTTGTGGGGAGTGCTACGTCGTGTAATATTAGCGGTGTGGCATGGAGGGTAAAGTTATGGGGGGTGTAAGTTATGTGCTGTAAGCGATGCGATGTCAGATCTGTGGTGTAATCTGATTCGTGACAGCTATGTTTTGTAAGCAATACCGTGTGATGTGGAGGTTGAAGCTATGAGGAGTACGCTATCTGATGTACGATTTGTTGTTTCATCTGATATCTGATGGCTTTCGGCCCCCCCCGCCACCGTGTCTGGATTGTGGATAGAGAACTCTTTTGGCTTCCTGGGTGCCTCTTGGGGCGGAAGGTTCGAAGTTTCGGTTCGTGGTCCCCGTCTTGGGGCCGTCTTGGGGCCCTCTTGGGCCGTCGTGGGCGCCTCTTTGGCCGTCTTGAGGCCCTCGTGGGCCGTCGTGGGGCCCTTTTGGGGAGGCTCTTGGAGTCCTTTTAGGACGTCTTTGGGAGCTTTTTCGGCCGATTGGAGACCATCTTGGGTGTCTTGAACCCGTTGTTCGGCGATTCGGGGCCTTCTTAGACCGTCTTGTGGACTTCTTCACGCCCTCTTGACCCGTTTTGGGGCCCTTTGGATGACGCCCGGACCCCCAAGCTATTAGTGAATTTCGGGTCCGGGCCTCTGGCAGAATCTTCAGGATTGAGGGCTGGGGCTTAGGGGATTAGGCCAAGGATCTGAGGACATTCCAATTCTCACCGAGCGCGTTCCACTACTCTCAAAGTGCCTACTCGCAAACGTCAGAAAAACACATGCCCGCTTTGATGTAATTCCTCGTAGATCCTCCGCGGAGGATCCAGGCCATTTGCGAGTAGTTATTTTGCGAGTAGTGGAAGGCGCTCGTCTAAATTCGTGCCTCAAGGGCACGGTGGCCGACATGCGGTGTAAGCTATGCGGTTCTGGTGTAAGTTTTGTTGTGACTGCTTTGTCGTGTCAGCTGTGCGGCTTGAATGGCAGGTGATAGCTATGGCGTTTATGTCATGTGATTTGAGCTATGGTGTGAAAGCTATGTTGTGCAAGCTATGCGGTGGGCAATGTTTGTGTGTAAGCTATGCACTGAACGCTGTGTCGTGTAAGCTATGCGGTGTCAACTGCATGCGAACGTCGTGTTGTGAAAGTGATGTGACGTATGTGATGCGCACTATGCGGTGTAAGCTGTGTGGTGGAAGCTATGTTGTGCAAGTTCAGAGTTTGGGGCGCCCACGTCGTTCTCAGGAGTCCGCACGGGCGGCAACGTGACGATACCTCGGCATGCCCCTCCCCAAGCGCGAGGCGCTAACGAGGCGCCAATGCGGCGGCACGGGCGGCACCGTGGACGCAACCTCGGCAGAGCCCCCCGAGCGTGCGGCGCCAACGGAGCGCCCGCAGGGCGGCACGGGCGGCAACTCGGCGAGGCCTCGGCATCGCCCCCCCCCCAACAATAGACAGAGCGCGCGGCGCTTCCCCCCCCCGGGTGGCGCGGGCGGCAGCGGGGCGCAGCCTCGGCGTGCCCTCCCGGCGCCCAGCGCGGGGCTCCCCCGAGTCGCACACCGGGCGGCACGGGCGGCAGCGGGGTGCAGCAGCGGCGGGTCTCCCAGGCGCGGGAGGCGCCAGCGGGGCGCCCGCGAGCCACGAGGCGGCACGCACGGGCGGCAGCGGCGCGAACAAAAAAGGCAGCCTCGGCATGCCCCCCAAGCGCGGGGCGCTAGCGAGGCGCCCACGAGGCGGCACGGGCCCAGAGCTTGGCGAACCGCGGGATATCCAACCACGTACGTAAAGGCAAGTGTTAGCCAGCGTGGAACCCCACAGTGCGGCATTGCGATGAAAGGGTGGAAGCTGTGCGGTGTAAGCTGTGCGATGCAGACGGTGTGGAAGCTACGCGGTGTACGTCACATGTTATGCGCTGGGTGGTGAAAGCTGTGCGAAGAAAGCTATGTCGTGCAAGCTATGTGGTGTGTGCAGGAGGTGGACTGTACGTGGCTGTATGGGGTGCAACATCTGTGATGTAAGTTATGCTGTGTAGGCTATGCGGTGTAAGCTATGCGGTTGAGGCTATGATGCAAGCAATGTCGTGTAATATACGTTGTATGATCTGCAGGTGGCAGTCATGTGTTGAGAAGTAATTTATGTAAGTTTTGGGGTGCACAGCTGTCTAGTGTAAGCCAGGCGGCGTACGCTATGGGGTGTAATGTATGCGATGTGAACTTGGCGTGTAGGTTAGGAGGCGTAAGCTATGTGGTGTAAGCTATGGCGTGCCAGCTATGCTGTGCATTACAGGTTGTAAGCTCCATGCGGTAAAAGCTATGGTGTAACTTGTGTCATGTAACCTATCGCGGCGTGAGTTGAAGGTGAACGCTATGGGGTGCACGCTATACGATGACAATGGTGTGGACGCTATGCGGTGTACGCCATTGTTCTGTATGTTCGGTGGTGAGCGCTACTTGTGTAACATATGCAGTGTGACCGGCAGGTGAACTGCATAAGGCGGCATGGGGTGTAAGTCATGTTGTGTACGTTATGTAGAATAAGTTATGCAGTGCAAGCCAGGCCGTGTGAGCTGTGCTGTGTGAGCTGTGCGGTGTCCGCTACGGCGCAGGCTAGGGCGTGTACGACACGTTGTATGAGCTGCAGGTGAGAGTCACGCGGTGAGAGCTATTTGATGTAAGCTTTGGAGTGCACAGTATGTGGTGTAAGCTATCGTGTGTAAGCTAGGTGGCGTACGCTATGTGGTTTAATATATGCGATGTGAACTCGACTTGTACGCTAAGAGGCGTAAGCTATGCGGTGTAAGCTATGTTGTGTGGTGTAGGTTTTAATGTTCATGGAGTATAAGCTATCTGGTTGAACTTGTGCCGCGTAACCTATGCGGCGCGAGTTGAAGGCGAACGCTATGGAGGGGGGGTCAGATATGTGATATACGTCATGTTGTGCAGGCTAGGCGGTGTAAGGTGTACGGGGTAAGCTATGTCGTGTAATCGACCTGGCGGGTTCTTTGTCTTGTCCGCTCAGGGCACGGGACGCCCACGAGGCGCCCACGAGGCGCCCACGAGGCGCCCACGAGGACGCCCACGAGGCGCCCACGAGGCGCCCACGAGGCGCCCACGAGGCGCCCACGAGGCAAGCTCAGAGCACGGGACGCCCACGAGGCGCCCACGAGGCGGCAACGTGGCGGCACCGCGGCGGCACCTCGGCACAGCCCCGCAGCGCGCGGGGGCGCCGACGAGGCGCCACGAGGCGGCAACGAGGCGGCGGCGTGGCGCGGCCTCGGCCTATTTCGCAAGCGCGGGGCGCCCACGATGCACCCACGACGAAGCCCCGGCAGACCTCCCAAGCGCGAGGCAGGCCAGCCACAATTGGGAGCTGTGGTCCTGACCCCCCCCCCTGGGGGGACCCATCGACTTCGACACCCCTCTCGAGAGATCGTCGGTGCGATGGGTTCCCTTAGGGGGGTAAGGACCACAGCTCCCCCAGTTATGGCTGGTCGGCGAGGACCCGCGTCCACGAGGCGCCCACGAGGCGTGACGGGCGGCTCCGTGCCGCAGCCTCTGCACGGCCCCCCAGAGCGCGGCGCCCACGAGGCGGCACGGGCCGGCCACGTGGCGAGGCCCTGCAGAGTAGGCATCGAGTCGCTTCAGTATCACTTTCAGCCAGCGTGGGCCCCAACAATTGCACTATTGCACTGTGGAGGTGACTGCGAATTGATGCGAGGTATGTGATGCAAGGTATGTGGTGTAGGCCATGCGGTGCAAGCTGCGCGGCGCAAGCCATGTCGTGCAAGCTATGGGATGACAGCCATGCCGTGTAAATTGTGCGGTGTGAGCGCCAGTGCGTGTAAGCTAAGCTATGGTCTGTAAGCTATGTGGTGCAAGCGATGCCGTGTAACCCATGTGGTGTAAGCTATGCTGTACAAGATAGTGTATGTAAGCTATTATGTGTGGAACGGGGATGCCACCTACTGGTGTAAGCTATTTTGTGCAGCTATACTGCTTAACCTAGGCGGTGTAAGCTATGTGGTGTAAACATCGTGGTGTAGCGATCTGGCCAACGATATGCCGTGTAAGCTATGCGGTGTGAACGAGAGGTGGGAGTTACGGGTTACAAGCTATGTAATGCAAGCTATACGGTGTCAGTTATGCGCTGTAAGTTTTGTGATGTAAAGTTTGTGGTGTAAGCCGTGGTGCAAGCTATGCTGTGTAAGCTATGCGGTGTAACGTGGACCTAGAAGTTGTGGGAGAGGGGGGGGCGTAAGCTATGTGATGTAGACGATGCTTTGTAAGTAATGCGGTGTGAGCCATGTCATGAAAGCTATGTGGTGTAGACGATTTGGTGAAAGTTTTGTCTTGTAAGCTTTGCAGTATGAACTGGGGGTAAAATCTATGGGGTGTAAGTTACGGCACGCAACCTGTACTGTGTAAGCTATGCGGTTGGAAGCATGTCGCGTGGGCTCAGAGCACGTGGCGCCCACGAGGCGCCAACGAGACGGCACGGGCGGCAACGTGTCGCAACTTCGGCACACACTCCCATCGCGCGGCGCCCATAAGGCGCCCAATCGCGCGGCGCCCACCGGAGGCAACCCAAAGAGGGGGGGTGGATTCACCCCCTCCCCCCCTGGCGCCGGCGCCGGCGCTGGCGGCGGCCAGCAGCGCCAGCGCTGGCGCCAGCGACGGCGGAGACGCAGCGACGATGACCACCACTACCACCACCGCCACCAGTACCACCACCACCACCGCCTCAACCCACCATCACCACCACCACCACAAACCCACCACACAACCAGCACCACCACCACCACAGCCACCACCACCACCACAACCACCGCCACAACTCACCATCACCACCACCACCACAAAAACCCACCACCACTACCACCACCACCACAATCTACCACACCACCACCACCACCACCGCCACAACCACCACCACTACCAGCAGCACGACCCACCGCCACCACCACAAACCACCACACCACCACCACCACCGCCACCACCGCCACCAGCACCACGTCCACAAAACACCGCCACCACCACAACCCACCACCACCACCACGTCCGCAAACCACCACCACACCACAACCATCACCACCACAATTCACCATCACCGCCACCACAACCCACCATCACCACCACCTCCACAAGCCACCACCACACCACCTTCACACCACCATAACCATCACCACCACAACTCACCATCACCACCACCACCACCACAAAAACCCACTACCACTACCACCACCACCACAATCTACCACACCACCACCACCACCACCACCGCCACAACCACCGCAATTACTAGCAGCACAATCCACCGCCACTACGACAAACAACCACACAACCACCACCACCACCACCGCCACAACCGCCACCACCAGCACCACCTCCACAAACCACCACCACCACAACCCACCACCACCACCACCACAAACCACCACCACACCGCCACCAAACCACCACCACCACCACCACCACTACCACAAACCACCACCACACCACTTCGAAACCGCCACCACCACCACCACCCACCACCACAATCACCACCACCACAACAAACCACCACCACCACCATAACCACCACCACCGCCACCACCACCACCACAACCCACCACCACCACCACCACCACCACCACCACCACCACCACCAACGTCCTGGTCGACGCTCCCCGCCGCCGCCCGCCCTCCGCCGCATGCGCCAGCGCCGGCCCAGAAGAAGAAATCGTCGTCCCCGCCGCCGCCGCCAGCCGCCGCCGACGCAAGCGCCGGCCCGAGGAGAGGTGGGGAAGCAGGGGAGGAAGGGGGGGGTCGACCCCCCCCCCCTGTGTCAAGGGGGGGGGGTCCGGTTTCCCCCCCCTCTCCAAGCGATCACAGAACGCGCTCTCTCTCTTATGTTGAGATGTTTGTTTCACTGGTGTGTTTGGTATGATTTCGGTATGTGTGAGCGCTTGTGGACCTGTGCGTGTGTTTTACGCCAGGTTGCTGCCACATGATACTTTGCGATAAACGGGCGCGCGCATTGTTTGATTCCACAAAAAGGAATGGCGATCGCCAGCCGAGGTGGGATTGTATGAGGTCAGATGGGACATGACCGATGGGCCAGAGTCGCATGCAACATGCAGCGTCCCAAAGGGGGGACGATAATCCCCAAGGGGGGAGGGATGCAGAGCCTGTCTCAGGTTTTGCGAGGTTTGCTTCTGAGGCGCTGGCTAGAGCTGGCGGCAAGCGGCGGCAGCAGGCTCGAGCATGGCGAATCCTCGGGGCACTCCCGCAGGCAGCAGGGGGCGGCAACGGGGTGGAACGTGGCGACTTCTTCGGACACCGCCACAGGCAGCCACGGGCGGCAACCGGCCAGAACGTGGCGAGTCGTCGAAGCAGCCCCCAGGCGGCAAGGGACGCAACGGGACACCCCCACAGGCGGCAACGGACAGCGACGGGGCGACAAACGCAACGTGGCGAAGCTCGGGACACCCATCCGATTCATTAGAAGCGCAAGTCGGAGTACCCTCCAGTGCAAGCGTTGTTTTGGGAAGGGCCCCGAAGCACAAACACTGTTTGGGGACAGATGTCCGCCAGCGTGGAAGGCACCCAGTGTGATTCATGCGGTGTGTATATATGCGGTGTGAAATGTGTAGTGTGAGCAATGTGGGCCAACATATGTTGTACAATATGTGTATATATATATATATATATATTACGAAGTATGTGGTGTAAGTTATGTGGTGCAACGTATGCGGTCTGAGCTACATGGTGGAAATTATGTGATGCAATCTGGGTCGTCAAGCTGTGCAATGCTACCTGTGTGGTGTGGTAGATGTTCTACGTGGTGTGACTGAGTTATTCAATGCCATCGTTGTGGTGTGAGCTACGATGTGTGAACCATGAGGTGTAAGCTATGTGGTGCACTATTCGGTATAAGCTACGAGGTGCAAGGTATGTGGTGCAATATGTGTGATGTGAGCTGTGCAGTGTACGCGCGGTGCGCCCACGAGGCGCTCACGGGCGGCAGCGTGGCGCAGCGTCGGCGGACCCACCTGGAACACGGGGCGTGGCGAGATGTCGGCGGACCCACCCGGCGCATGGGGCGCCCTAGAAGCGCCCACGGGCGGCCATGTGGCGACATCTCCGCGGACCCGCCCAGCGCACGGAGCACGCAAGAGGCGCCCACGGGCGGAATGCGTGGCGAGGCCCCGGCGGTGCCACCCAGCCCGGTGGGCGCCCACGGGGCGCCACGCAGCGCCCGCGGGCGGCAGCGTGCCGAAACCTCGGCGGACCCATGTAAGTCCCCGGGGGCAAGAAGTAAGAAGACCTGAGTGCACGCACTGTTTGGGGGGAGAAAGATCTCCTCAGTGCAAGCGCTGCTCTGGGGGAATACGTATGAAACCGTAGCCTTGCGTGGGGAATACCGTTTCGGTTTGCGCAGAGTTATTGGATCGGCGGTGGGCCTCCCTGACGGCACCTCCGGCGCCGCCCCTGGCGCGCGGAGCGTGCCAGGGAGGGGGGGGGGTCCAGCGCCGATCCCAGAAGTCCGCGCGGACTTCCGAAAATTTGTGCTCATGCCGTTTTCTGTTGATCCAGGATCGGGATCCGCTGGAGATTGTGACCGCGGAGCGGCTGGAGAAGATGTCGACCAAGGAGCTGATCAAGCTCGCGAAGAAGCTCCAGGGGGAGGTGGCCGAGATCGACGACGACATGGACCTCTCCGTGGAGGAGGACCCCTGCAAGACCCGCAGGGAGAGTGCCCGCCGGCTGCAGGCCGCGAGGCTCCGCAGGCTCCAGGCCGAGGCGGAGAGCGTAGAGATTGGGAAGGAGGAGTTCGAAGAGCTCCTCGAGGAGGAGATTGCAGAGATCGAGGGCGAAGAAGACCCGTGCTCCATGCCCGAGGAGGCTTTCCTCAAGGTGGAGGAGGTCCTGGACCAGGAGATCGTGGGCACCGAGTCGGAGAGCCAGGGAGCCTTGCGCGAGGAAGAGGCCAAGCTGAAAAAGGTGCACGGCTCTGTCGAGGCGGAAGCCTCCGGTCACACAGCGACGGAGGTCAGCGCCGAGGGCCTCAACTTCACGCACCGGCACAGAAAGCCACCGGCCAGCGCGAAGTGCTCCGCGAGCCACGAGGACTGCAGGTCCACCGAGTGCTGCTCCGACCCCGGGCTGCAGTGCTATCCAGCTTCCTGTGGCAGATCCCGCCGCCGTGCCAGCCCGACCCCCTCGGTGGCCGCTGTGGGCGTAGGAGGAGGAGGAGGAGGAGGAGGAGGAGGAGGAGGAGGAGGAGGAGGAGGACGAGGAGGACGAGGAGGAAGAGGAAGAAGAAGAAGAAGAGAAGAGGAGGAGGAGGAGGAGGAGGAGGAGGAGGCCGTCGTGTGTGGCACCCTCGAGGCTCTCGAAGGCCACGGGGGCCTGTTGGGCGCCTCTTGGGGGACTCATGGGGGGGGCCTTTTGGCAGTGTCTTGGAGGCTCCTTGGAGGCTCTCGGGAGCTCCTCGGGCCGTCTGAGGGAGCTGTTGGGTCAGGCGATAGCAAACATGGATTAAGGGGGCGTGGATCAGTGACGGGTCTCGTTTCCATGGGAAATCGCGGATTTCCGCCGCCGAACGAGGCGGCACCAGCCGCATTTGGGGAGGGCACCTCCACCGATCCATGGATTTGGCCACCGCGCGCCAAATCCATGGATCGCTAGTCCATGTTTCTGTTCGTTCCCCCGATTGGGCCATCTCGGCGCTGTCGGAGTCCGTCTTGGTAGGCTCTTTGGGTCGTTCTCGGGCCCTCGTGGGGACCGAGGGCTGGATAAGGGCTCAATCGGGCCATCTCGGAACCCCCTTGGACCGTCTTAGGGCTCTGTCGAGGCCTCGTGGGCCGTCGTGAGGCCATCCTGGAGGCTTCTTGTGCCGTCTTGAGCTGATGGAAGCCCGACAGGGTGAGACTGCAGAAGTCCACTACTCACCTTCGGAAAATATAGGTTTCTTGTCCTCTTCTGGCCCTGCTGGAGGTTCTCTTGGAGCTCTCTTGGGCCGTCTTGAGAGCCTCTTGGGCAGTCCTGGGTCCATCTTGGGCTGCTCGGGGCCATCTTGGGCCTCGGGCGAGCCAAACTGGGTGTCTTGAACGCCCTGGGGAGCGCCAGGAAGGCGGCGTGCCCAGGGAGTCTCGGAAAGGGAGCTGGGTGGAGATGCAGGGCAGGCTCATGCGGCGTCGGCGCGCGCAAAGGTCTTCGATCCTGCGTCGATCGTTCGACCTTGAACCGATCGCGGCCCCGATCGTTCAGGCTTGATCTCCGCCGGGCCCTGTGGTGTCACCGTGCCGTCGGTGCCTCCGCGTCGCTCATCGTGCGGAGCTCTGCCCTGAACGCCTTCGCCGGCGTCGCCGGCGCGCCATCGCCGCGTGAACCTGCCGTGCGCCCCTGTATGTGATGAGGGGCAGAGTGCAGGGGCGCGCAGCGAGAAGCCATCTGCTTTTCGTCAGGGTATCCTGGGTTTCTTCGCTCCTCGCGCTGCGCGGTGACTCCCCGCAGCCGTTGAGAGAGCTGCTGCGTGCAGGGTGCTCTGGGTTTCCCCTCTGGTGCACCTCGCGCACGGGTTCTCAGGGTTGGGTTCCTTGCGAGGGCTTCTTGCGGCTGCGCCCACACTGTATCTTCTCAGAAGACTGCAGAAGCGCATCACTATTCTTTAATTCGGGCTTGTCCCTCTACAGGAGGAATATTCAAACATAGTAAAGAATAGTCGGGGACGATTTTTGAGAATTTGAAACCATTTTTGCATATTTTTGGCTATTCTTAATTTTTCCTCGAGAATCCCCCTGTGGGGGGACAGGCCCGACGTAACACTATATTCTGCCACGCCTCGGCGTGCCAAGGGGCACGGTGGCGGACGAGAAGAACAAGTGGTGGGCGATGTGCCTGGTCGCGTGCATCCCTGGCGCGCCCGACCCTGCCGACGTGGACCCCGAGGTCTGGAGCTGCAGGGAGATCGGCGAGCGCTCCGGGGGCAGGCCGATCGAGCCGGAGGACCGGGCGTGAACAGAAAGGGGGGTGTAGGGAAAGGGGGGGGTACGAAATCTTCGGGTTGACCCAAAAGGGGGTCCAGCGACAAGGGGTGGTGCAATAGATTTGGTGCAACAGATTTGTGGGGTTGCAATAAATTGGAGGCGTGCAATACATTCTGGGGCGCAGATGTACTGCTGGATTTTCGCGTGCAATACATGAGTTGCAATACAATGCAGTACAATTCTCTGGCGCAATACATTTGCAATACAATTGTCCCACATCTATCGCACCACCCCCTTGCAGTTGGACCCCCTTTTGGGTCACCCAAACATCTGGGTCACGAAATCTGCTGCATGCAGCCGGTTTCGGCCCCGCCGCTGGGCCCATTCCTCGATATGCATGGGCGCCTCCTGGCGTCGGGAGGCGCTGGGAAGATCAGCTGCGCGGGCGGATTCTGTACCCTACCCTTTGCTACCCCCCCCCCCCTGTCGTCCCCCCTGGGAGGAGTGCCACGACGTCCACGACAACTGCATGGACTCGAAGTGCTGCAAGGACCCCCCGAGGCGGCGGCGCCCCGGGGGGGGGGGGGGCGAGGCGAGGCGAGGAGGAGCGGGCCTCCTCAGAGGAGGCTCGGGAGGCCTCGGGCCTGCCGAGGTGTTTTCCAAGCCTTGCGTCGGGCGTGCCCCTCTGCAGGAAGAGTCCTAAAGCATAGACAAAGATGAGGAGGTGGAGGAGGAGAGAGGAGGAGG